TTCCTTAGTACCTATGTAGAAACTGTTCTCTAAGCCAAGATGACCAAAAAAACCCCAGAAATGCCAGAAACAGGTGCTGCTCACTCATATTCTCATAAAAGGGTTGTAAAAAGAGATGAAAAGTAAAGGCTGCGATGGGACTTAACTCCATAAACATTCAGAGGGGAAAAGCTTTACGAGGAGGAGCTTGGCCTGATACAGAATTAACAAAAAGACATTTAACTGAAGCAGGATAACACAAGTAAGGAGGCTATGGAAGAAAATTAGCTCAAAAGCAAAAAAGGAAACAACGTGAAGTCTAGGGAGTGGGGAACGCTATTCTAGAAGATTTGAAGCAATGCCAACTCAAGCTTACATGAGAAATCACAACCAGAAAGAAGCAGCAGGTAGATGAGGATACAAAAAAAAAAAAAAACCCATTGCCATGGAGTCAATTCCAACTCATAGCGACACTATAGTGACCGGGGAGATATAAAATGATAGCGAATTGAACTATTTTTGAGCAACTACCAGGTGCAAAGCATCCCAGAAAATAGTGAGGAGAAATGGTGCAGAGAAAGGAAGACTTGACTTAACATAGGTGGATTTGGGTTCCAGCCCTGGCTCTGAGGCTGACTGGCATTGTGTTTCCCTTTCTGGGCCTGTCTCCACCTAATAAAACAGGGGGTTACCCTGGGAATCTCTACGGTTCTTTCCAGTTCTGGCTTTCTATGAGTCTGTGACAGCAGGAAAGATGAGGAAGTGTGAGCTCCACGAGGGCAAAGATCTCATCTGTTTTCCTGTTCACCAATGATTCCTGAGTCTCCAGCCTGGCACGTGTTATACACTCAATAAACCTGCTGTATTCACTCAGAAATAAAAAAATGAATGAGCACAGTGCTGCCCTTGGGAAGCATGCCATCTGTCTTAGTTGTCTAGTGCTGCTACAATAGAAATACCACAAGTAGGTGGCTTTAACAAACAGAAATTTATTTTCTCAGAGTTTAGGAGGCTAGAAGTCTGAATTCAGGGTGCCAGCTCTAGGGGGAGGCTTTAGCACTCTGTTGGCTCTGGGGAAAGGTCCTTGTTCCTTGGTTCCCTGGTGATCTTCATGTCGTATGGTATCTATCTTCCCCATCTCTGCTCACTTAATCTACACTAACACTTCTTCATTAACACAACAAAGAAAACCCATTCCCAAATGGGATTAAGGTCACCACTATGAGTCAATTGATTTGATGGCACACAACATATGGGTTAAGATTTACAACACATTTTTGGGGAGGAAACCTGGTGGCACAGTGGTTAAGAGTTAGGGCTGCTAACCAAAGGTTGGCAGTTTGAGTCCACCAGCCACTCCTTGGAAACCCTATGGGGTAGTTCTACTCTGTACTAGAGGGTCGCTATGAGTCGGAGTTGCCTCAACGGCAATAGGTTTGGTTTAATATTTTTAGGGAACACAATTCAATCCATAACACCATCTAAGAGAGAGCATTTGACCTTGAAAATAGAATCTGTGACTAATGACTTTATCTGTTCATTATGCAAAGAGCGTGACTAGTATTGCTGCTTTCTCAGTGATACATCAGGACTTTGTCAGGCAGTGAATGTTGTAGGAGGCACAAAAGTAAAAAAGCATAGGTCCAATCTAGAAGAGGTAGAGTGGCCTGCTTTGACTGAAGGACAAGAGGGGTACGGATGAGCCATGGGAGATAAAGCTAGTTATGTGAGTTTGGGCCAAAATGGCTCAGCCAAGCCTACCCGGCAGCACTTGTCTTCTATTCAGAAAGGCAAGGCAGGATCGTGTTTAAGAGCATAGGTTTGGAGGCAGATATCTGGGTTCCAATCCCAGTGTGAATCAGCAGCCGACTTAACCTCTCCATGCCTTTGTTTCCATACAGCTTAACCAAAAATGAAAAAAACAAACAAACAGTTACCATCAAGTCGATTCTGACTCATGGCAACCTCATGTGTATCAGAGTACAACTGTGCTCCATAACGTTTTCAATGGCTGGGTTTTTGGAAGTAGATAGCCAGGCCTTTCTTCTCAGGTGCCCTGGGTGGACTCAAACCGCCAACTTTTATCATAAGGGTGATTCAATGATTGAACTAGCTAATCCTTACAAAGCACCTAAACAGTGCCTGGACTATAAGAAAGCATGCATAAGTATCAGCTATTAATATTGTTATTATTATTAATTTTGCAATTATTAGTGCCACTGAAAGGGTAGTGATAGGATCAGAGCTTCTCTTCCAGGTGCTTGATTGGGCTGTGATGTGTAGGATGCAGGGGAAGATGCAGACAGGTGGAAGGCCAAGAGACTAGTTAAGAGGTCACTGCAATTCTAGGTGAGAGGGGCTGAGCACCCAAAGCAGGAAAGAAAGGCAACAGGAAAGGGAAATGGGCCAAAGACAAATATATCTGAGCAGCTGAATCGATCAAACTTGGCAAAGGCTTTGATGTGACTGGTACAGAAAATAGAATAGTCAAGAGAGACAATAAAAGGAGTTTGTCCGAAAAATGTCCATTTTCCCACCAAAGGGTCTGTTGAAATTACACTAGGAAATTAATCCTGCCTGCCCTAGGCTGAAAGAGCCCTGGTGGTGCAATGGTTAAGCGCTTGCCTGCTTAACAAACCCACCCAGAGGCTCCGTGGGAGAAAGACCTGGCAATCTGCTCCCATAAAGATTACAGCCTAGGAAAACCTATGAAGCAGTTCTACTGTGTCACATGGAGTCACTATGAGTCGAAATTGACTCGATTGCACCTAACAACAACAGAACTAGACTGTGAGCTTCTTATTCAAGTTGTTATACCCAATGGTCCTGGTACACAGCAGACATTCAGTGTTTGTTGAGTGAATAATTGCCAGCATTACCAAAACACATATGCAGCAGAGGATTCCAGTTACTGGGACTGTGGAACATGCTACTTTGAACATTTACAAATCAGTAGAGCAGACCCTTTTATAATATAGAGCATAATAGATATCGAAAGTTGGCGAGCTGTCATATTTGCTTTTTTCTGTATAAAGCTGTTACATTTTGATGGGCATCAATAGTCATCTGAGAACAATCAATGAAAATACAAAATGACTCCTTGAAAGTCTTCACATTCCCTAAAGATTTAAGTGAAGATATAAACAGGGCCACCACCAGGCTGATAATAATCATTAGCAGATTAATGTTCCTGAAATGGCTGAGACCTAGAGCAGAACTCCATATTGTGAGTATAGTATGGGATGGTTCTTCCCCAAATTCAGCTAAATATCAGGTCAGTGGATGTCCACCAAAATGAGGTAACTGAGGGTAGGGGGAGGGAGGCTGCCTCCAAAAGAAAATATGTATGTCTTTAGAGAGAAACGTCTTCCACCTTCATAGTATCAATATTCTTCATTTATTTGAAACAGAGTTCCTCAACCTCAGCACGACTGTAAGTTTGGGCTGGGTGTTTTTTGTTGTGGGGGCTTCCTGTACATCGGAGAGCTTTACACAGCTCCCAAAGAGTTTCACACACACTGACGAATTTGATTTGAACCTCTCAACGCCCCTGAGGATGCAGAATAGGATTTTCATTCCTGTTTCACATATGAGCAAATTCTTGGCAAATGTTTGATGTTTTAAAATATGAAATATTATATCTTATGCTAACTAAAAGTGCAATTAGGAGCCCTGGTGGTGCAGGGTTAAGCGTTCAGCTGCTAGCCGAAAGGTCTGCAGTTCAAACCCACCAGTGGCTCCACAGGAAAAAGATGTGGCAGTCTGCTTCCATAAAGATTACAGCCTTGGAAACACGATGGGGACAGTTCTACTCCATCCCGCAGGGTCCCTATGAGTCGGAATAGACTCTACAGGCATACAACCACAAAGTGCAAATGCTTTAAAATGCAACCACATAGCATCCTATCTCTGCCATTAACTTTAGAGAATTGCTTCATCCCTCCGGGCCTATTTCGTCCATCCATGAAACGTGGGTTTGAGCCAGGTGAGCATTAGGACTCCTCCCTGCTCTAATACTGTAATGCTCTGGTCCTATGCGGGAAACTTCGATTTCATTTATGTTACATGAGGGTGACTTTTAACCTACTTGCCATGCAGCTACTATCACACAAAGCAATGGGTGACAGGTCTCAGGGGCAACGTGTTCCACCTGGATGGCACCTGGGTCCCAAAGGCATCCAGTAATGCCTTGAGACTTGCTTAGTAACCAACTCCAGGGCCCTGGGTGGTGCAAATAATTTAACACACTCAGCTGCTAACAGAAAGGTTGGAGATCCAGTCCATCCAGAGGTGCCTCAGAAGAAAGGCCTGGCAATCTACTTCCAGAAAATCAGCCATTGAAAACCCTATGGAGCACAGTTCTACTCTGACACACATGGGGTCACGGTGAGTCACAATCCACTTGAAAGCAACTAGTAATTCCTCCTAACCCTTTAGTTAATCTCTCTGCATGAAACTGCAAACCACAGTTAATAAGTACAATTTACAAGAAAGGCGCGGCAGTGAAAGAAGCCACAGTCACTAAAACGACTGCAGATCACATAGGTCCCTTCTGGGCAATTCCCCACACTAGCCACGCTGCACATCCAGTCCCCGAGAGCCCTGTTTTCCATCTATATCTAAGTGCTAGAATACTGCCCACCCCTACCCCCACTGGCATCCACTCAGGAGGCGAGATTCATGTCTCTTGCAAGTAGGTCACTTCGTGCATCGACCTAGAAATCAGCAGACCCACGTTTAAACTCCTATCACTCACTTCTAACAAACCACTTCCTCCATGGGCCTCCCACACAGGCTGAACTTGAATGACCTCCCAACTTCTTTGATCTGCACAAAACAAAGTCAGCCTGAGGCACTGCCCCAGAGCTGGCGCGAGGAGCCTGCGCTCCTCCCAGAGCTGCTCTCAACGCTCCAGCAAACCCGCCCCGGTCCTTTCCGCGGCTGCAGCCCCGTCCTCCCAGCTGGGTAGTTGGTCCCGGCGGGCTCCAGCCCCCGCTCTCCTCCAGCGGGCCGGCCGCTACCTGGTCCAACAGCCGGTAGATGCTAATGCCCAAGGTCTCCACCAGCAGCTGCCAGTCGGCCCCGGCGAGCGCGGGCTGCTGCAGTTCTGCGCAGGCCTCCCGGAACTGCTCCTCCGAGAAGCCACCCGCCGCCGGTTCCATTCTTCCGCAACTGTGGCTCCTCTGCTTGGACAGAAGGCCGCGGACAGCGTTGGTGAGGGTTGGGGGCGGGTCCAGAGGGTGGCCCC